CAGAAGTAGGATTGCCCAACCTTCCTTCCGAGGAGTGGCTGGTGGGTTTGAACCGCCAGTCTTCTGGTTAGCAGTCAAGTGCCTTAGGCACTATGTTACCAGAGCTCACTCAGTATAATGTCCCCCAAATTCATCCATGTTATGCAGTGTTCTGCAGACTCTACATTATTCTTTAGTGATGCTTAACATTCCATTGTATGTATGTACCATACTTTGGTCATCCACTCTTCCACTGATGGACACATAGGTTGTTTCCATCTTTTTGCTATTATAAATAGTGCTGTGATGAACACGGGTGTGCATATATCTGTTCCTGTCCTGTCTCTCACCTCTCTAGGATATATACCTAGTAAAGGGATTGCTAGGTCAAATGCTATCTCCAATTCCAGCTTTCTAAGGAATTGCCATACTGCTTTCCACAGTGGTTATATCACTTCAGAGTCCCACCAGCAGTGTATGAGAGTCCCAATCTCTCCATATCCCCACCAGCATTTGTTATTTTCTGTCTCGTTGAACCTTGCCATCAGTGCTGGGGTGAGACGGTATATCTCATTGTTGTTTTGATTTCCATCTCTCTGACGTCCAATGATTGTAAACATTTCTTCATATATTTTCTGGCCACTTGAATATCCTCCTTGGTGAACTGTCTATTCATGTCTTATGCCCATTTTTCAATTGGATTGTTAATCCCTTTGCTATTGAGGCATTGGAGTCTTCTAAAAATCTTAGAGATAAGTCCCTTGTCAGATATGTATTTATCAACAAGTATGAATTTGTTTCTGTTATTTTTGTGATATACTTTTTCATGGTGTTGATTTCTTTGTTCCATATCATCTTCTGTGCTGAGCACGTTGTTTATGAATTGTGTTATCACTTCCTTCGTTGCTATTGTTTGAGTATTTGCTAAATATTTGTGCTGGGCCTCTTTTTTATTTTGATGTGGTTTATAATTTTTCTTTGAGGTCACCCTCTGATTTATAGTTTTCTTCCCAAGTTTAGAACTTTCTGTTCTATCTTGTAGTTGTCTTGACTTTCCTACCATCTAGAAGTTCTATAACTATACAATTTTTTCCCTCTTTTTGGTTTGTAGTTGTTCTCATTTGTCAATCAATGTCTCTGGTTCCCTGTTTACAATCTTGTAGGCTTATTTACTTTGGACACTTCCATAACTGAGTTGGTTTCTGGGTATGTCATCATGTGTGGTAATAGTAAGTTGTTGTTTGCTGTTGTTAGTTCTCTGTCCAAAGGACTCTCTTTAGCATCTCTTGTAAGTTTGGTCTGGTTTTAACAAATTGCCTTAATTTCTGCTTATCTGGAAATGTTCTAATTTCACTATCATATTTGAGGGGCAGTTTTGCTGGGTACAAAATTCTTGCTTGGAAATTTTTCTCTTTCAGGATTTTATATATACCATCCCATTGCCTTCTTGCCTGCACAGTTCTGCAGAGAAATCCAAGCTTAGTCTTATTGGTTGTTCCTTGTAGGTAACTTTTTGTTTTTCCCATGCTTTCAGGATTCTTTCTTTGTCTTTGGTTTTGGTGAGTTTGATGATGACATGTCTTGGTGATTTTCTTTTGGGGTACATCCTGTTTAGGGTTGTTGGACTTCTTGAATAGACATATTCTCATCTTTCATCATACCAGGAAAATTCTCTTCCAACAAATCTTCAGCAATTTTTTCTGTGTTTTTATTTCTCTCTTCCTGTTCTGGAATTCTGGTGACACATAGGTTAGTCCTTTTGATGGTATCCCACATGAACCTTAGACTTTCTTCATTTTGTTTTGGTCTTTTTTCTGACTGATCCCTTTCCAAAGAAGTATTCAGGTATTTGCCTTCAATCTCACTAATTCTGTCTTCCATTGATTCAATTCTACTCCTCTGCCTGTTCAATGTCTTATATATTTCTGAAAATTTAATAATAATCTTCTGGATTTCTGTCTGTAGATTTTGTTATCATTTCTAATTTTTGCAATTGCTGTACTACTCACAATAGCCAAAAGGTAGAAACAACCCAAATGCCCATCAACAAATTAACAGATAAACAAACTGTAATAGATAAACACAATGAAATATTATTCAGGTATTAAAAAAAGAATGAATTTCTGATATATATCATGATGTGGAAGAACTTTGAAAGCATTATGCTGAGTTAATTAAGTCAGACACAAAAGGACAAGTATTATATGATACCACATATATAAAATATCTAGAACAGACAAATGCATAGAGACTAAAGTTTATTAGTGGCTATCTGGAGCAGGTAAAAGTGAGAAATAAGGAGTTACTGCTTAAGGGATAGAATTTCGGTTAAGGGTGGTGAAAACATTTGGAAATAGTTGCATAACACAATAAAATATATAATGTCACTGAATTGTACACATAAAAATAATTGAAATGGCAAGTTTTTTGTTACCTATTTTCTACCATAATAAAATAAAAAGAAAGCTCCCAATTAAAAAAAAAAAAAAAAAAGACCATTAAGAAGAACAAAGGTCCCTAGCTACAAATCGTTTGCACTTGTCTACTAACCAAAAGATTGACAGTTCAAATCCACCTAGTAACACTGAGAAAGACAGGCCTGGTGATCTACTTCTGTAAAATCATAGCCATTGAAAACCCTATGGGTCACCATGAGTTGAAATCAACTCAACAGCAATGGATTTGGTTTGGTTAGGAAAAGTAAAAATGGAATCCACAAAATAGTAAGATACTTACAACACATATAACTAAAATAGGGTTTATATCCAGAATGTATGAGGAACATTACAAATCAGTAAGACAGACAATCCAACAAGAAAAAAAAGTGGCAAAAATCTTGGATAGGTCCTTCTCAAATGAGGAAACCTAAATAGCCAACAAGAATATGTACGAAAAGTACTCAGTCTCACTGGTAGTGAGGAAAATGTTATTGTACACTCATCAATGTCACTCAAATTAAAATGTGTAATACCAAGCATTGAGGAGAATGTGGAGCAAGAGTAATACTCATCCATGCTGATGCCAGTGTAAACAAGTTTAAGATTATCCTATGACCCAGCAAACTCCACTCCCAGGTATAAACCATAAGAAATGAGGCTTGTGTGAACCAAAATATTGTGCTAGATTATTCATAATAGCACTAGTCATAACAGCCAAAATCTGGAAAATAATAATAATTCAAATGTACACCACCAGTGAAATGGTTAAATAAATGATGGCACAGCCAGACAATGGAAGTATCCAAATAAGAAATGAATATAATGGAGCTATATGCAACAACGAGGATGAATCATAAAAACACAATTGTGAGCAAAAGAAGTCAGTCACACATGGAATTGTACGCTTACAATCAGTGAACTTTATGGCATATAAACTATATCTTAATAAAGATGTTTTTTAAAAAGTCAGTCACAAAAAATAAATATTATAAAATTCCATTTTGAACTTTATAAGTTCAAAAATAGGCAAGATAAACTATACTGTTTAAGGATATAAAATTAGTTGATAACATTATCAGGAAAACAAGGAAGTGAACACTTATAAAAGATAGCCCGGGGGAAGTAGGGGACATCATCAGGAGGGAGCATGTTCCATTTTTTGACCTGGGGGTGAATTCACAGGACTGGCTTGGTAATTTGTGCAGCTGTATGTTTAATGTTTTACTGTGTTCTCTATGTATGTTTTACAATACAAAAGTGAAAACAGTCATAATAATGAAACTATAAATCACTAAAAGAAAAAAAACGTAATTAGTTAGACGATCTCCATTAGGAATTAAGCTCAAGTGCAAGTTAAATACATATTTTTCCATTAACTGTCCGGGAGTTTCTCCATCTTACCTGCATGCACTATGAACTTTACTTCTCATGGACCTTGCAGAAGCTTTCCTCCTTTCTTTTGGAATTACACTGTGTAGAGCAAAAGTGAACTGGGGCAAGTTAGCATGCAGCCTGGCCTTCTCTATTTCTTTGAATTCTTTTATGGAACACTGTTTTCCTATAGGAAGATAAGAAATCTAAATCAACTCTTAAAGTCAACTCCAGTTGCTCTTGGAGCAGGAAATCATTTCACCATCAGCAGTCTTCAAAACTGAAGCCCAGTGGACACAAAGTACCTGTCTCACATTGAAGAATAGCTCTTTTCTTTTCATCTGCCTCTTGCTGTCTTCGAAACAGAGGACCAAAAAATGGTGGGACCGAAACCTAGAGAAATGAGACTCATGAGGATTTGAGTGCAACTTGAATACTAAGCTTTTTAAATTTACCCTAAGTACTCAAGTTTGGCCTTACTATACCCCAAGAACCAAGTTTAAAAACCTATGAATGCTGTCAATCCACAGAGCAGTAGAAGGGTAAATATCTCCTGCCTGGAATAGGAGACTTAAATGATTGAATGGAGAGAGGGTTGCCCAAATAGAAGACACATGCTTCTCTTCAGAGCTCTACTGTTACCACTGTGCCAGTCAACAAATATATGCTGATGGCACCACATGCCATACCTGGGCTACTCCCTGTTCTCAAGGATCTCTCAGTCTAGTACAACTGACAAGTAACAGACAATGATAATCTATCATGAGTTGAGTCAGATCAGTATACTATAGGATCACAATGTCATGTTCCTAGCCCAGACTGGAAGGAAGAATGCCACCTGGGGAAGCTAACAACTGATCTAGAAGGACATGTGAGATCTAGCTGGGTAAACATTTGTGTGAGTATATGAAAAAGGCAGGGGAGTACAGAGATTGTCGTTGTTGTTAGGTGCCATTGAGTCATCTCCGACTCATATAGACCCTATGCACAGCAGAATGAAATACCACCCAGTACTGAGCAAGCTCCATGATTCTTGCTATACTTGAGTCCATTACCACTGCCACCGTGTCAGTCCATCTCATTGAGGGCCTTCCCCTCTTTAGTCAACCCTCCACCTTACCAAGCATGATATCCTTCCCCAGGAAATGGTCTCTTCTGATAATATGATCAAAGTATGTGAGACCAAGTCTGGCCATTCTCGCTTCCAAGGAGAATTCTGGCTGCACTTCCTCCAGGACAGACCTGTTAGTTCTTTTAGCAGTCCATGGCACTTTCAGCATTCTTCGCCAACAACACAGCTCAAAAGCATCAATTCTTTGGTCTTCCTTATTCATTGTCCAGCTCTCACATGCATATGAGGCTATTGAAAATACTATGGCTTGTGTTAGGCGCACCTTAGTCCTCAAGGAGACATCTTTGCTCTTCAGCACTTGAAAGAGGTCCTTTGCAGCCAATTTGCCCAGTGTTATATGTCATCTGATGTCCTGACTGCTGCTTCTATTGATGTCGATTATAGAACTAAGCAATGTGAAGTCTTTGACAATTTCAATCTTTTCTCCATTTATTGTAATGTTGCTTATAGGACCAGTTGTGAGGATTTTTGTTTTCTTTATATTGAGATGTAATCCATACTGCAGACTGTATTCTTCAGTCTTCATCAGTAAGTACTTCAAGTCATCCTCACTTTCAGCAAGCAAAGTTGTGTCGTCAGCATATCACAGGTTGTTAATGATTCTTCCTCCAATCCTAATGCCACGTTCTTCTTCATATAGTCCAGCTTCTAGGATTATTTGCTCAGCATACAGATTGAATAAGTATGGTGAACGGATACAACCCTGACACACTCCCTTCCTGATTTTAAACCATGTAGTGTTCCCTTTTTCTGTTCGAACGACAGCCTCCTGGTCCTCATGAGTACAATTAAGTAATTAGTGAATCAATGAGGTACATAATATGTTCTGCCTTCAACACCGTCCTCAGTGAGATTTTCTCTATAATGAAAATAATCTTTTTATCTTCATAATAATGATCTGGCTTGGTTTTCCAGGAGAAACAAAATAAACTATGTTTCTCTTCAGAGACACACATTTTTTTTTAATGAATATTAATATAAGGTTGCTATTTCTGTTACACAGGAGTAAAATTGAAACCTACATCTCTAAATTTTGACCCATGTATCAGCAGTTTAAAAATCTTAAGACTTGTTACAAGCTCAACTATCAGCTCTTCCGGACAGCCTCTCCTAACATGCTCCTAGACATGCAGTAGAAAGGAGCTGTCCCGCTGAGTCCCATGGACTTCTACCACACACTCATCACCCTCCATTGCTTACATACTTTTCTCTCCCTTCTGTACTTCAAGTTTGCTGAATGTGAATGAGTGACAGAATGAATGAATGGCCACCACACACGTGCACCATGTTCACACAGTATAAATTCTCCAACAGTCTAAGTAACTTTGGGTTCCTATTCTAAAAGGCTGGGATTGCTTTTGTTGTTTTTGTTTGTTTTGTTTTTAATGAATAGAGAATATCTATAAGACTTCTAAATGACTAGTTTCCCAACCCCAGAACTTATAAGAATAAATAAATAAAAGAGCAAAACCCACTCTATCTTTCCATATTTTGAGTCCTTTTTCCTTATATAAAAAGGATTATGTACTTCAAGATCATAATGATTTCCAAGTACAGTTTCCTTTAAAAAAATACACCTATGAAAAAAATCACTGCATACAAAAGCATTTTGTAGGATGTATAAAAGTCAAATACTTTATTTCATATTTATATAAAATCATAGATTCAAAGGGTTAGAAGAAACTTCAAGAGTACTTCTGTCAGGGGTGAGAGTCCATCTCATCTTGAGAGAGGTAACCATCCAGCTTTAGTCTGAAGTCATCAACTAGCTTTAGCTTGAGAACTTTCTGCTCCATGAGGAAGGTACTTTTTTGGTAATTCTAACCACTAAGGAAGGAGGCCTGGTTGCATAGTGGTTAAAGAGATTGGCTGTTAACCATCCAAAAGGTTGGCAGTTCAAACTCACAAGCTGCTCCCTGGGAGAAAGATGTGGCAGACTGCTGTAAAGCCCATTGCCATCAAGTCAATTCCAACTCATAGCAACCCCATAGGATTTCAAAGATTTTCCAAGGTGTAACTTTTATGGAAGCAGACTGCCACATTTTTTTTTCCTGTGGAGCAACTGATGGGTTTGAACAGTCAAACTTTTAGTTAGCAGCCCAGTGCTTAATCACAGCACCACCAGGACTCCTTACCATAAAGGTTACAGAGTTGGAAACCCTACAGGACAGTTCTACTCTGTCTTATAAGGTCACTATGAGTCAGAATTGACTTGAAGGTACACATTAAAAATAACCCCACTAAGAAGTTTGTCCTTAAATTGTCTAATCCGCCTTGTAACTTCCACACATAGATTACTAGTTTTCTCTCGTGAAGCAACACAAACACAAAATACTGATCTCAATCTTTAAGCCTTTTAAACATTTAAAGGTTTCATTTCCCCTTGTGTCATCTCTTCTTTAAGCTAAATACCCTATTTCTTTCCACTTCTTCTGTAAAGTGGTATTAAGCCCCATCCTCTAAACGCTGTGCAACTGGTGAACATCCCCTCTATAGTATAACATAAGGAATAAAGGGATAGGACAAGGTGCTTCCCACACTAAGCACAGACTCTCCTAACACCTCTCTTTAAGAAAATACAGCTCATGTTTTCTTGGAAGCCAGCTCACATGGTTGACTCATGTCATTTAAAATCATTTGGACTTCAACACATTCTGTTTCTGACACATGGCCTCCCCATCCTATACATAAGCAACCATGTTTCTGGACACCACTGCAAGATCTTGCAGCTTGATTTCAAACAGGCTTGGATTCAGTCTTGAGCTCTGCTTCTAACTAGCTCTTTAAACTTGTATAGGTCTCACCTCTCCAAGTGTCTGTTTTCTTATCTATAAAATGAGGTTAATAATAACAACACATTACAAGACTGTCATAAAGGATACCTGGAAATAAGAACTATGGGGATAATTTCTCCAAGTATTAAAGGTTATGATAAAACAAAACAAAAACTCACTGCCATTGAGTCCGTTCCAATCCATAGGGAACCCTCCTTGAGTTTCTGAGGCGGTAAATCTTTACGGAAGTAGATTGCCCAATCTTCCTTCTAAGGAGTGGCTGGTGGGTTTGAACCACCAGCCTTCTAGTTAGCAGTCAAATGCCTTAGGCACTATGCCACCAGAGCTCCTCAAATATAATGTTGTTGTTGTGTGCCATCAAGCATATTGTAACTCATAGTGACCTTATAAGACAGAGTACAAATGACCCATAGGGTTTCCTTAGGCTGAAATTTTTATAGGAGCAGATCACTAGGTCTTTTCCTCCATGAAGTGGTTGGTGGGTTCCTTTCAGTTAGCAGCCAAGAGCTTAAATATTGCACCACTAGGGTATCTTGCAAACATAATAAAAACAATTTATTTAATACAGGATTATTTAAATAACATATTTGTACATTACAAATTTAGAGATTTTAGTAAGAAGTACTTGGATCCACATTCAACACCCATGGAAGCAGCAGTCAAGAAATCAGACATTGTACTGCACTGAGCAAATCTGCTGCCAAAGACAGTTCTTTAAAGCGTTGAAGAGCAAAGATGTCACTTTGAAGACTAAGGTATACCTAACCCAGGCTGTGGTATTTTCAACAGCCTCATATGCATGTGAAAACTGGATAATGAATAAGGTAGACTAAAAAAGAGTTGATGCTTTTGAATTGTGGTATTGGTGAAGAATACTGAAAATACCATGGGATGTGGAAGAACAAACAAATCTGTCCTAAAAGAAGTGTAGCCAGAATGCTCCTTGGAAGTGAGAATGGCCAGACTTCATCCTACCTACATTGGTCATGTGTCAGAAAGCACCATTCCCTGGAGAAGGATATCATGCTTGGTAAAGTAGAGGGTCAGTGAAAGAGGGGAAGACCCTCAAAGAGATGGACTGACACAGTGGCTGCAATGATGGGCTCAAGTATAGCAAGGATTATGAGGATGACACATGACCAGGCAGTGTTTCATTCTGTTGTACATCAGGTTGCTATGAGTTAGATGCTACTCAAGAGAACCTAGCAACAACAGTAAGAAGTATGGAATCCCCAAGTGGAGCAAACACACTTGGCTGCTAACCAAAAAGCTGGTGGTTTGAGTCCACTTAGAGGTCCCACAGAAGAAAGGTCTTGAGATCTACTTCTGAAAAATCAGCCATTGAAAACCCTACATAGCACAGTTCTCCTCTGACATGCATGTGGTCTCCCTGAGCTGGGACTGACTCAATGGCAACTTTTTTTTTCTTTCTTTTTTGGTTTGAGTAAGACGTATTTGACATACATATCCAGAAATTTCACTCAGAAAATATAATTAATGCCCCAATGTTTCAGTTAAACTACTCTAGGTCTCTAGTAAATACTTGGAGGGTGGGTAACAATGTTCTACTGCACACATAAAGCCAACAAATGTAAATTTGCTACTGCAGATAGGTGTACCTAGATTCTAAAAGAGGAACCTGGCTTCAGAGTTTAAAAAAAAAATAAACCTTCAAAATAAGAAACAAAAATTCTGTGGTTGCTTTGTAAAGCCAAACTGAAGTACAGAACATAGCAACTGGCAGTCTCTACACATAATAGCTGGTTAACTCAACAGCCAGATAACTCCATTTTCCCTTGCCCACTTCCTACTACTTCCTACTACAGAGACTGGAAAATCTGACACTCTTTCCTAGTCTCACTCATATCTAGGACTTGTATAGCTTAGTCCTTATAGCTGGAACCCAGTTCTAGCCAACGAAATCAAACAGGAAGTCTGCTGGGGGCTTCTAGGATGTGCTTTCTGACAAAAGGAACAGGGTAAGGGAAGAGTTCCATAGCCCCATTCCTTACCCTTTATTTCTGCCTTGAACACAGATCTAATACCTGCAGCTGTAAGCAACCATCACCTAAATGTGCTGATGAAGGGGAAAAAGTGAATATATTAAGGAGTTTAAAAACAATAGAAAAACCTAGGTCACTAACACCACTACTCATCTGTCAGTTTGTCGTACTGTGGTGGCTTGCATGTTGCTGTTAGTCTAGATAGAGGTTATGGCACCAGTATTTCAAATACCAGCAGGGTCACTCATGGTGGACAAGTTTCAGCGGAGCTTCCAGACCAAGACACACTTGGAAGAAGGAAGGGGCCATCCACTTCTCAAAGAATTGGCCAGTGAAAACCTTATGAATAGCAGTGAAAACACTGTCTGATATATTACTGGAAAACTTTATGAATAGCCCTGACATATTGTCCAATATAGCATCAGAAAAGGAGCCCCTCAGGTTGGAAGGCACTCAAAATATGACTGAGGAAGAGCTGCCTCCTCAGAGTAGAGTGGACCTTAATGATATGGATGGAGTAAAGCTTTCGGAATCTCCCTTGCTGATATGGAACAACTCAAAATGAGAAGAAACAGCCATAATAATCACTAATCACTAATAATCACTAATAATCAGAACATGGAATGTATGAAGCATGAATCTAGGAAAATTGGAATTGTCAAAAAATGAAATGGAACACATAAAGATCGATATCCTAGGCATTAGTGAGCTAAGATGGACTTGTTGTTGTTGTTGTTATTTGCCATCGAGTCGGCCCCGACTCATAGTGACCCCTCCTTGGGTTTCCGAGGCAGTATCACTACGGAAGTAGGAATGCCCAACCTTCCTTCTGAGGAGTGGCTGGTGGGTTTGAACCGCCAGCCTTCTGGTTAGCAGTCCAGTGCCTTAGGCACTATGCTACCAGAGCTCCTAAGATGGACTAGGTTTGGCCATTCTGAATCAGACAACCATATGATCTACTATGCTGGGAATGGCAAATTGAAGAGGAATATAATGGCATTCATCATCACAAAGAATGTTTCAAGATCTACCCTAAAGTACTATGCTACCAGTAACAGGATATCCATACACCTAAAAGGAAGACCAGTTAATACTATTATTATTTAAATTTATGCACTAACCATCAAAGCCAAAGATGAGGAAATTGAAGATTTTTACCAACTTCTGCAGTCTGCAATTAACCAAATATGCAATCAAGATGTGTTGATTATTACTGGTGATTGGACAGCAAAGTGGGGAAGCAAAGAAGAATCACTAGCAGTTGGAAAATATGGCCTTGGTGATAGAAATGACACTGGAGATCACATGATAGAATTTTGCAAGACCAACAACTTACTCATTGCAAATACTTTTTTTCAACAACATAAACAGGGGCTATACACATGGACTTTGCCAGATGGAGTACACAGGAATCAGATCAACTACATTTGCAGAAAGAGGTGATGGAGAAACTGAATATCTTCACCTAAAACAAGGCCAGGGGCTGACTGTGGAATAGACCATCAACTGCTCATATACAAGTTCAAGTTGAAGCTGGAGACAATTAAAAGAAGTCCACGAGAGTCAAAATATGACCTTGATTATATCCCTCCTGAATTTAGAGACCATCTAAAGAATACATTTGATGCATTGATCAAAAATCAGAGGAATTGTGGGATAACATCAAGAACATTATCCATGAAGAAAGCAAAAGGCCATTAGAAAGACAGGAAATGAAGAAAAAAACAAAATGGATGCCAGAAGAGACTCTGAAACTTGCCCTTGAATGGAGAGAAGCTAAAGCAAATAGAAGAAATTACAAGATAAAAGAACTGAACAGAAGATTTCAAAGAGCAGCTCAAAAAGACCAAGTCAATTATTATAATGAAATATGCAAAGATCTAGAGTTAGAAAACCAAAAGGGAAGAACACACTAGGCATTTTACAAGCTGAAAAAACTGAAGAAAAAATTCAAGCTTCACATTGCACACTGAAAGATTCTATGGGCAAAATATTGAATGATGCAGGAAACATCAGAAGATGATGAAAGGAATACACAGAGTCATTGTACCAAAAAGAATTGGTCAATGTCCATCCATTTCAGGAGGTGGCATATGATCCAAATCCAATGGTACTGAGAAAAGAAGTTGAAGCTGCACTGAAGGAATTGGCAAAATCAAGCCTCCAGGAATTGACAGAATACCCACTGAGATGTTTCAACAAACAGATGTTATGCTGGAGGCACTCACTCAGCTATATATCAAGAGATTTGGAAGACAGCTATCTGGCCAACTGACTGGAAGAGATCCATATTTGTACCCATTCCAAAGAAAGGTGAGCCCGCAGAATGTGGAAATTATTGAACAATATCAGGAGCTCTGATGGTGTATTGTCTTAGGCATTTGACTGCTAACCAGAAGGCTGGTGATTCAAATACACCAACCACTCCTCAGAAGGAAGGTTGGGCAATCTACTTCCATAGTGATACCACCTCGGAAACCCAAGGAGGGGTCACTATGAGTCGGATCCAACATCTTGATGCCAGTGCATGCATATCAATATCACGTGCAAGTGAAATCTTACTGAAGATAATTAAAAAATGGTTGCAGCAATATATTGACAGGGAACTCCCAGAAATCCAAGCTAGATTCAGAAGAGGACATGAAACAAGGGATATCATAGCTGATGTCAGATGGATCTTGGCTGAAAGCAAAGAATACCAAAAAGATGTTAACTGTGTTTTACTGACTATGCAAAAGCATTGTGTGGATCATAACAAATTGTGGATAACATTGAGAAGAATGGGAATTCCAGAACACTTAATTGTGCTCATGAGGAATCTGTACATAGACAAGGAGCCTGTCGTTCAAACAGAACGAGGGGATACTGTGTGGTTTGAAATCAGGAAGGGAGTGCATGAAGGTTGTATTCTATCATCATACTTATTCCATCTGTATGCTGAGCAAATAATCTGAGAAGCTGGACTATATGAAGAAGAACATGGCATCAGGATCGGAGGAAGACTCATTAACAACCTGTGATATGCAGATGACACAACTTTGCTTGCTGAAAGTGAAGATAACTTGAAGCACTTACTGATGAAGATTAAAGACTACAGTTTGCAGTATGGATTACACCTCAACATAAAGAAAACAAAAATCCTCACAACTGGACCAATAAGCAGTATCACGATAAATGGAAAAAAAACTGAAGTGGTCAAATATTTCATATTAGTTGGTTCCACAATCAACACCAATGGAAACAGCAGTCAAGAAATCAGACGATGTATTGCACTGGGAAAATCTGCTGCAAAAGACCTCTTTCAAAGATGTCTCTTTGAAGACTAAGGTGAGCCTAACCCAAGTCATGGTGTTTTCAATTGCCTCATATGCATGTGAGAGCAGGACAATGAATAAGGAATAGCGTAGAAGAGTTGATGCTTTTGAGTTGTGCTGGCGAAGAATACTGAAAGTACCATAGACTACCAGAAGGATTAACAAATCTGTCCTAGAGGAGGTGTAGCCAGAATGCTTCTTAGCAGCGAGAACGGCCAGAATTCATCTCATCTACTTTGGTCATGTTGTCAGAATGCATCATTCCCTGGAGAAGGATATCATGCTTGGTAAAGTGGAGAGTCAACGGAAAAGGGGAAGGCCCTCAACAGTAGATGGACTGACACAGTGGCTGCAACAATGGGCTCAGGTATAGCAAGGACTGTGAGGCTAGCACAGGACCAGGCAGTGTTTTGTTCCGTTGCACACATGGTTACTATGAGTTGGAGCTGACCCAACGGCACCTAACAACAACACAACCAACAGGTCACTAATGACATTGTTATGCTATCAAAATCCACCATGAGACCAACTATCTCTGGATTTCTTTATAAATAAATCATAAATGGCCTTATGACTTAAGTCACATTTACCTAAAAGCATTCCTGATCAATCTAGTTTCAAATTAATTATCTCAATTCCCTCCACTCTAAACCAGGTATAAAAATGCAGTCAGCTAACGCAGTTCAAGGAATTCATCCTAAACACAAGCTTGGAGCTGTTTACATAAACAGTGAAAATGTTGGCCCTAACCATTCAAATTATACTTTCTTTTTAAAGTAAATAAATAAATAAAACACTCAGTACCGTTTTATTTGCGTGCTGTAAATCATATTCAAAATCCTCTTGTTTTGTTTTTTTCTGCCCTCTATATGAAATTACTTTTTCCATAATTCTCTGCTGAAGAGGCTGTGCGACATTTTCAGTCCATTTTTTATGTAATATTTCTCTTCTTCTTTCCTTAAAAGTATCCAGATGCTGGAAATATGTATCTAATCGCTAATGAAATGAGGAAAATAAATTATTATAAAATTTTCCATTTATTGTCATTTGAAAGAGGGGGTAAAAAACTTGTTCCCACTCCCAAGCTCTCAGCCACATTCAAGCTACAAAGTCCTAGCATAAAATAACTGAAGAACAAAATACAGGTCAGAAAGAGAAGCTGATAGCATACAGCAGGAAGGACTCATGAAAACTTGTAAACCACAACCTTGCTTCAAATTAATCTATATTAAACCATTCCTAACTCATGAACCTCTTCTTTTTAATTATTTCAAAGCATTCTCTGGTCACCCATTCCAAACCTTCACTGTCATCATGAGGAAATTCAGTGACAGATTGGCAGAGTAGAAAAAGAGCACTAGACTTGCTCTAACACCTCTCTCTCTGAATCTATAAAGGGAAGGTAATCCTACCTACCTCTTTTGCTGCTGACATGAGAATATATGTGAACTCCTTTTATAAAGTGTAAATCATAATATAAATGTCAAAGTTTTATTATAACACCCAATTTCAATCCCTCTCACTGCAATTAAAACCCCATTGTGTTTATCCATTTCTTGAAGACTACCAGTACTAGAAGGAGTGCTGGTGGCATAGTGATTAAAGCATTCGGCTGTTAACCAAAAGGTTTGACAGTTCAAATCCACTAGCCGCTCCACGGAAGAAAGGTGAGCAATCTGATTCCACAAATACTTACAGACTCATAGGGTCAATATGAAAAGAAGCTCTGGTGGTATCATGGGTAAGGCATTTGGCTGCCAACCAGAAGGTCTGTGGTTCAAACCCACCAGCTGCTCCATGGAAGAAAGATGCAGCAATCTACATCTGTAAAGATTTACAGCCTTGGAAACCCAATGGGGGTCGCTTTAAGTCAGAATTGACACGATGGCAATGAGTTTGGTTTTGTTTGAGGGTCTCTATGAGTTGGGAGCTCTGGTAGCGTAGTGCCTAAGGCACTTGACTGCTAACCAGAAGGCTGGGGGTTCAAACCCACCAGCCACTCCTCAGAAGGAAGGTTGGACAATCTACTTCTACAGTGATACCACCTGGGAAACCCAAGGAGGGGTCATTATGAGTCAGGTCCGACTCAAGGGTACATAACAACAACAACATGAGTTAGAATTGCTCAATGGCAGTTGGTTTGGTTTATCTTTAAATACTAATTTATTTCTGGTGGCTTTATACATCCTCACTGAGATGTGGGAACTTAAGGGGAAAAGAAAGAATTTCTATTCAGTACCAGGACAAAGATGGGGAGCAGTTAGAACCATCTCTCAGATCCCTTAAGTATAGACCCAGGTGGAATTACAGTGAGATGGATTTGCACCTGTTAGTGATCTTGCACTGAGGTGGCACAATCTCAGATGTATGAAGTATAAACAAGAAACTCAAAGGAGCCTCATTCTCCTCACAAAATGCATTTCCTTGACATGATAATCAATTCTTAATCCCGTTGCTATGCATCACTCTTGCTGATCTAGATTTACTTAGAATACACAGTGTGTAGTCAACTCTTACCTTCACAACATAATTTTCTCTAAGTAATATTACATGTACAGCTTCATCAATGTCTTCTCTAGCTAATGCCTAAAATTGAAAATTAGGATGTAAATCATGAAGAAATAAATCAAAATGACTCAGTGTATTTACTAATAGTTTTACTGTAATACCAATGTCTGTACTTCAAAGCATATTTGTCACTTCTGATTATGGAAATTTCAAACAAGATTCCCCATGAATCTATCACCCAGGTTCAATAATTGTCAACTTAGAGTCAGTCTTATTTCATCTAAATCCCTACCCCCACCCTCAATTATTTTGAGGCAAATCTTTCACATATCATTAAATAATTTTTTAAAATACCAAGAAAGCTTACAAATTAAAGGGATCTTCTAAAAAGTGAATCCTCTTTTCAGACATCCAGTAGGTATTTTCTTAAAGGGCCCCGAAATTTCTTGCTTTCTAGGTTTCGTTGTAAGTCAAAACCACAGAAAGTTAGGTCTAGTTCAACTGGTCCAGAGCCACAGAGTTAGTGGCAGCTAGTGGCCTCAACTCATATTGTCTTACATCTAGGGACTTGCTGTTTCCATTACGAGTTTGGATGGGTAAAGCATATGCATTTAAATCTTCACTTTAGGGCTTTTCAATTGGATCATAGGAAATGATCTTCCAGGTTTTAGTCTCATAGAACTAAGTAGGAACAAATGGCAAAGCATTAAAAATCTATTATCTGGAAAAGAAATAATATTTAAAATCTCTAGTGTAAAATAATACAGGTTCTTAAAACTATGTTATTCAATCTCAGGCTTTTCTGTCTGTTCTGCCAATCTGGCTACATAAAAACAAACTCAAATACTAAATCTGTGACTGAGAAAAATTCTGAAGAAGAGAGTTGGGTTTTTACCCATATATTTAATTGCTTCATGTGAAATTAAAAATGATATTCAGGCAGCTGTTCAGGTCTTCTCCAAAATAACGAGCGCTCTCACAATAAAACAAAATCTTGCTTTAAAGCCTTCTCATGCACAGGAGCTCTGGTAGTATAGTGCCTAAGGCACTTGACTGCTAACCAGAAGGCTGGCGGTTCAAACCCACCAGCCACTCCTCCAAAGTAAGGTTGGGCAATCCTACTTCTGTAGTGATACTGCCTCGGAAACCCAAAGAGGGGTCGTTATGAGTCAGGGCTGACTCAACGGCACATGACAACAACATCCTTATTTTAAGATATAAACTGAAAAATTATATAAAACAATTCAATATTTTTTCTCTGATACTACAATTCAAATGAGAATAAATCATAACGTATTGGGAGAATTAAAAGCTTACACGTTGACAAACATCTTGAAGAATCACATGTTTTGTGCCACTTTTGTAAACACTACTGGCAAATATTATATATACTTTCAGTCATGCAGTAGATTTTAAAACAATCTTTTTAAGAAATAGGCAGCTTTTGTCATTGATGGCACCTTTATGATTTTGCCAGAAAATAAGTGTTAAGAATAGCAGCACTTTTGAAATCTACAACGTCCTGTACACACACAGAGAAAAATTAAGCATCTCACTACCCATACTGCCATGACAAATTGGGAAAAATAAAAGAAAACAGCTTTTCTTTATTTATAGTGAAGCAAATTATTGGCTCATACAAAGCAATGAAGTTATCTTTACAGGAAGATCATTACTTTTCCAGACCCTGAAGTATCAGGATCCCACTAGACTGACCACTCGTGTTCTTCCGCACGGCGAGAATCTTACCGCTGCATTTACTCACCCCCCCGGGCTCCTCAGCAGGAACAGAGGACATTCAACCACACTTTTGGCCAAATTTGACCCTGGGCCATTCCCATTCAACAATTTTATTCATTTATTTTGAACGCCTAATATGTGCTAGGCCTTGTTCTAGGGGATACAACCGTCAAGCGTGATTAAGATGATATAACCAAAAACCAAACTCATTGCCATCAAGTGGATTCCGACTCATAATGACCCCCATTGGGTTTCCAAGACTGTAAATCTTTACAGAAGCAGACTGCCTCCTCTTTCTACCGCTGAGCAACTGGTGGTTTCAAACCACCGGCCTTTTAGTTAGCAGCCAAATGCCTTAACCAGTACACTACCAGATCTCCTTATTAGGAGAGTATTTTAAAAACAAACAAAACAAAACACCACTGCTATCAGGTCGATTCTGACTCATAGTGACCCCCAGGCAGCAAATCCTTACAAAAGCAGATTGCCCCGTCGCCCTCCTGCAGGGTGGCTATTCGGTTTGAACCGCCAACCTTCTGGTTAACAGTCAAATCCCTTAGGCAGTGCACCACCACAGCATATAATAGTTTCTGTTCTTAAAGGTTTAAGTCCTATTACCCAACCAACGCCTCAAAATGCCACATTATTTTTACCTCCATTAAAGAAACTGCCATCGGGTCTGGCCATTCTTTTAATTTTTCTGGCCTGAAATGGTCACCATAGTTGGAGGCTTTCATGGCAGCCATAGATAGTACAATCTCTGAGAGAAGAAAAGTAAAGTTAGAGGATTTAGTAGGACGATTATGTGGAAAAATGCAAGATCTCTGGGCTCAGAAGGCGCTTTAAATACTTGCTTTCCCACCTCTAGAGTAGGAGCTCTGGTAGCATAGTGGCTAAAGCACTTGACTGCTAACCAGAAGGCTGGCGGTTCAAACCCACCAGCCACTCCTCGGAAGGAAGGTTGGGCAATCCTACTTCCGTAGTGATACTGCCTCGGAAACCCAAGGAGGGCTCGCTATGAGTCGGGGCCGACTCGACGGCACATAACAACAACAACAAGAGCAGGTAAGCGAAAGAAAAACAAAATCCTAGGCGCCTCCGCGCCTGTTTCTAAAGTGGGTGATTCTGTCTCTCCCACAGCTAGTCTTAGGGGCTACGGGTATTCCGCTCAGTGTTCCCCCCCTCCCTGGGAGAGGCGGGCCATGGGCCTTGGCGGGGGGCCATGACTTCTGTCACAGTCCTCACTGCGAGGGCGGGGTCCCTGCTTTCTAGCTGCGACGCGGGGCCATAACCCCCAAGTCCCGCAGGTTTCCCTGGGCCCCACCTCCGCAGAGGGGCTGCCGCTCTGGGTCGTCACAGCCCTGGACCGGGGCGGTCCTTCAGCCGCGCACTGTCCGCCCCGCCCTCGGGCGCCGAGAACCCTCCCTCCGGCCTCCGCCGCGCTCCCGGCGCGGGCCTAGCTTAAGCGCGTGATGCTCCTTCGGACCGGGTAGCCGTGGCGTCCCTAGTGCAGGCCGACGTGTCAGAAGGAGGCTCCGAGATCCAACGAGACGCAAGCCACGGCTGTATATACATCCTGGAACGCGACAGGGTCCCACTGATATTCCGGAAAAGGGAAGAAACGTTATTTTAAAGTACTGTGTTTGAACTGGATCTTCCCACCCCTTGCTTTTCTGCTGGGCCGGCAAGGCGGGGAGGCCAGGGAGCGAGCACGGGTTTCCTCCCTGACTCCGCGCCAGCACGGCCTGCGCAGTCCTTCAGCGCCCTTTCCCCTCAAAGCTCGCACCGCAGCCTCTCTGAGCTGGGGCGGCCGGCGTGTGCGGAGAACCACCCAGAAAACGCTCTGGAAAGGAGCCCGCTGGAGCCGCGGCTTTCTCGCCCCCTCCCGCACTGGACGGAGGCAATGGGGGGGAGCTTGTGAGAAGTTCAACTGTTCTTCGACATATTTTGTTTTGATTTTCTGAAACAGACATCATGTAAATAAATACCAAACAAAATTTAACATTTACTTCTATGATTGAGGGCAACAAGAATAGCGGGAGAATTTTTAAGTGTATTATCAGGTTTACAGGAGCATGGACTTTTGAAACCTCACGTTGAAGTGTATACTTAAATAATTGAGATAGCGACAATTTCCCTAGCAACTTTACCTACTTATGTAGTTGATTTGAGCAACAGATTCCTTTAACCAAGACTTGCAAGGGAATAAATGAGGATATATTCTGTTCCTAAACCCAACAAGTCTCTGGCATATTTGATCTTTACCCATTTACAGCTGTGGAAACTGCGTACCGGTCAGAGAGGTTGAGTCATTTGCACAAAGCAAATAATTGCCAACATTGAAACTCAAAAACCCAAAAGTATGTGCTGTTTATCTTATGCTGTGGTATTTACTAGCTAGACATGCATTTGTTAATGTTGTTGTTCCTCCCTTATTTAACAGCTTTAATTTTATTTACTTCTGGTTATAAAAATTGAGAAAATCATCGTACTTATAATGCTGTACTTTCTCCTTCCTTACCAATATGTGTGTTTATAACACTTATATTGTTTCATGACCATAATCCTGCTCTTGTTTCTGTCTTCATCCTTCAATGTTTATTGTAAGGCTGTTTGCTCTATTTATGTTTTTTTGTTGTCATATGCCTTCTGGTCAGTTCTGATTCATAGCTACCTTTGTACAATAGACCAGAACACTGCCTAGTCGTGCACCATCCTCACAATTGTTGCTGTGCTTGAACCCATTATTACAGCCACTGTGTCATTCTACCTGGTTGAGGGTCTTCCTCTTTTTCGCTGACCCTCTACGAAGCATTATGTCCTTCTCCAGAAATTGGCCCCTCCTGACAACGTGACCAAAGTTTAAGAGGTCAAGTGTTGCCATCCTAGCTTCTAAGGAGCATTCCACCTATACTTCATCAAAGACAGATTTCTTTGTTCTTCTAGCAGAAGAACATAGTACATTCAATATTTTTGGCCAACACCACAACTGAAATGTGTCAGTTCTTCTGCAGTCTTCCTTATTCAGTGCCCAGCTCTCACTTGAATATGAGGCCATTGAAAATACCATGGCTTGGGTCAGGCGCACCTTAGTCTTCAAAGTGACAGCTTTGCTCTTTAACATTTTAAAGTGGCCTTTTGCAACAGATTTGCCAATGGAATACATCTGTTGATTTCTTGACTGCTGCTTCCAAGGGTGTTGATTATGGATCCAAGTAAAATGAAATCCTTAACAACTTCAATCTTTTCTACATTTATCATGATACTGTTTATTGATCCAGTTGTGAGGATTTTTGTTTTCTTTATGTTGAGGTGTAATCCATACTGAAGGCTGTAGTCTTTGTTCTTCATCAGTAATGGCTTCAATTCTTCACTTTCAGTAAGCAAGGTTGTGTTATCTGCATATCATAGATTGTTAATAAGCAATTAACAATATTTCTCTAATCCTGATGGCTGTGTTCTTCTTCATACAATGCATCTTCGCAGATTGTTTGCTCAGCATACAGATTGAATAAGTATGGTGAAAGAGCACATACTTCTCCTGATTTAAAACCATGCACTTCCCCCTTGTTGTGTTTGAATGACTGCCTCTTGATCTAGTTACAGGTTCTGCATGTTCAGTTTGTTTGGAATTTTCATTCTTCATGATGTTATCCATAATTTGTTAAGATCCACACAATAAAATGCCTTTACCCAGTCAATAAAACACAAGTAAACATCTTTCTAGTATTCTTTGCTTTTAGCCAATCCATTTGCCATCAGCAATGATATCCTCATCCCATGTCCTCTTCTGAATCCAACTTGAATTTCTGGTGGTTGCCTATCAATATATAGCTCCAACCATTTTTTAATTATCTTCAGCAAAATCTTACTTACTTAATGTGATATTAATCATATTGTTTGATATTTTCACTTTCTGTTGGTTCTCCTTTCTTTGGAATGGGCACACATAGGGATCTCTTCCAGTCAGTTGGCCAGGTAGCTGTCTTCCAAATTTCTTGCCATAAACAAGTAACTCCTCCAAATGTGACATCTGTTTGTTTAAACATCCCAATAAGTATTCCGTCAAATCCTGGAGCTTTGTTTTTCACCAGTGCCTTCAGTGCAGCTTAGACTTCTACCTTTAGTAACATCAATTCTTGATCATATGCTACCTCCTGAAACATCAACCATTTCTTTTTGGTACAGTGTCTCTATGCATTCCTTCCACCTTTTTTTTTTTTTTTAATTGGGATTTGGGTGAAGATTTACAGAGTAAATTCACTTTTCATACAGCAGTTCACATATACTTTGCCTCATGTCATTGACCAAAATTTACAATGCAACAGCTCCCCTCCCACTTCCTCCCCATAGTTACCACTTCCCAGTGTCCATCCCTCCATACTCTCCTGCCCCCTGAGCTGTCTCCCTGTGCATAAGCAGCCCTTCCTTCTCCCATGATCCTTCTACCTTCTTTTGATGCTTCCTGGATCATTGGATATTTTGCCCATAGAATCCTTCTGTATCACAACTTGAGGCTCAAATTTTTTCTTCAGCTTAAGAAATGCGAAATGTGTTCTTTCATTTTGATTTTCTAACCCCAGATCTTTGCACATTCATTTTAATACTTTACTTTGCCTTCTCAAGCTGCCCTTTGAAATCTGTTCAACTCTTTTACTTCACCTTTCCTTCCATTCACTTTAGTAATTTTCAGAAGCAAGTTTTAGAGTCCCTTGTGACATCCATTTTGGTCTTTTTTCCTTTCTTGCCTTTTTAATGGCTATATTAGGCTGGATTCACTAAAGAACCAAAACCAGTAAAGCTTAGAGAGAGAGAAAAAAAGAAATTTATCTTAGGGAAATGGCTCACACAGTTACATTGTTGTTATGTGCCGTCGAGTCGGCCCCAACTCATAGTGACCCCTCCTTGGGTTTCCGAGAGGGTATCACTACGGAAGTAGATTGCCCCATCTTCCTTCCGAGGAGTAGCTGGTGGGTTTGAACCACCAGCCTTCTGGTTAGCAGTCAGGTGCCTTAGGCACTAAGCTACCAGAGCTCCTCACACACTTATAGAAGCTGGCAAGTCCCAAGTTCTTGGATCAGATGTCAAGCTGGAGGCTTTTCCTGACTCACACAGCTGCAAGGGCTGATGACCTCAAGGTTGGCAGTCAGTATACTGGCTGTTGACTCCAATGAATGACAAATCCAAGATTTCCAGGGCAAATGGTGGCTTGTTCACTCATCAACAGTTGTAGGCAGCACAACAGGATCCTAATCCGCAGAAGAGTGTCTCTTTTCCCAGGAGGTCCATAAATGTATTAGAAGCAGGCCACACCCCTAGGGAAACTGCCTTTCAACTGATTGGCTTCTCAAAACATAGACATCTGATCTCATCATGGGAATAACCCACATCACAAATGCTTAAACCACTCACAATTGTGGTCCAGCCAAGTTAACACACAATTCCAACTATCACAATGGCCTTTTGCTTTCTTCATGTATGATGTCCTAAATGTCATCCCACAGATCATCTGGTCTTTGGTCACTGGTGTTACATGCATCAGACCTCTTCTTCAGATGGTCTCTAAATTCAGGTGGGATATACTCAAGGTCTGGTGATGTAGTGCCTAAGCCATTTGACTGCTAACCATTACGCTGCTGGTTCAAATCCACCAGCCACTCCTCAGAAGGAAGATTGGGCAATCTACTTCTGTAGTGATATCACCTCAGAAACCCAAGGAGGGGACGCTATGAGTTGGATCTAATTCAATGGCAGTGAGTTTGGTTTTTTGGTTTTACACTCATGGTCGTAATTTGGCTTTCATAGACTTGTTTTAATTTTCTTCAGCTTCAACTTAAATTTGCATACAAGCAATTGATGGTCTTATGCACAGTGGGCCCCTGACCTTGTTCTGACTGATGATATTGAGCTGCTCCATTTCCTCTTTCCACAGATTTGATTCCTGTGTATTTCATCTAGTGAGATCCATGTGTATAGTGACCATTTATGTTATTGACAAAAGGTATTTGCAATGAATAAGTCACTGGTCTTGCGAAACTCTATCATGTGATCTCCAGTGTCATTTCTATTATCAAGGCCTATTTTCCACCTACTGATGCTTCTTTGTTTCCAACTTTTCATTCCAATCACCAGTAATTAGTGACATATCTTGATTGGATGTTGTGTCAATTTCAGAAGATTTCAAAGAAGGAAGGGGCCATCCACTTCTCAAAGAGTTGTTCAGTGAAAACCTTATGAATAGCAGTGAAATACTGTGATATATTTCAGACTGCAGAAGTTGGTAAAAGTCTTCAATTTCTTCATCTTTGCCTTTAGTGGTTGGTGCATAAATTTGAGTAATAGTAGTATGAACTTGTCTTCCTTGTAGGCATATGGATATTATCCCATCACTGGCAGCACTGCATTTTAGGATAGATCTTGAAGTGTTCTTTTTGACAATGAATATAATGCCATTCCACTTCAGTTTGTCATTCCTGGCATAGTAGACCATATGGTTGTCTGATTCAAAATGGCCAATACCAGTCCATTTCCACTCACTAATGCCTAGGGTATCAATCTTTATGCATTCCATTTCATTTTTGACAACTTCTATTTTCCTAGATTCATACTTCCTACATTCCACATTTTTATTATTAATGGCTGTTTGCAGCTATCTCTTCTTATTTTGAGTCTAGCCACATCAGTAAATGTTTACTCTACCTATATCATTAAGGTTGACTCTACTTTGAGGAGGCAGCTCTTCCCGTCATATTTTGAGTGCCTTCTAACTTGACGAGGTCATCTTCTTACACTGTATCAGAAAATGTTTCCCTGCTATTCATAAGGTTTATAGTGACAATGTTTTTCAGAAGTAGACCTGGCCACATCCTTCCTAGTCTGTCTTAGTCTGGAAGTTTTGCTGAAGCCTGTCCACCATTTCAGCAGTGGCATAGCTTCCACTATCACAGCAACATGCAAGCCACCGTATAACAAA